CTGGCTCCCCCTCGCTCCCGCTGCCTCTGGGGTGACGTTCTCACAGTTCTCTGGGCTCTCCCTGACCTCACCAACCATTTCTTCACCCTCCTCTTCCCACTCCCCTCAGCGACACGCTGCTCAGTGACCCCCCACCCCAGGGCACCCCACCACCGGCGCTGCTCCTGGGCCTGGCACCACTCGCCAAGAGAAGTGACCATGGGATGCTCCCATCCCTTAACCCCACCTTGCTGCCCGCTGGCACAGAACAAAACACCAATGAAAAATAACCCAAAAGGGCACAAAAACAGCAGCAGTGGCCCAGCCCAGGTGCCTGCTCTCTGCCTCCAGGCACACAGTCCCACCTGGCTGGAAGCAGGATGAGGGCAGGGACTTCACCTCCTTTGGCCTTCCTTCCCCATCAGCAGTAGCTATTTCTTTCAGCCTTGGCTAACAAAGAACAGAAGGCTGGCCCTGTGAGTTGAGCCAGTGCCCCAGCTGGCCCTGACCCACAGGCACAGGCTGTTGGTCCCCAGGGTGTCCTGGAGAGCCCAGCACACAGGACCAAGCCCTGAGCCTTGCAGATCACCACAGCCACTTCCCCCATGGAGCTGGATCATCTCGGGAGCTTCTGCTCCCCACAAAGCAGACACAGCCCCCACTCGCCCGGTGACCGCGTGACCTTCCCACAGAGCCCCTCACAGCCCACCTCAGCTCCTCCTGCTGAGCCATGGGCGCTTGGCACGGAGCGGGAGGTGTGTTCCAGGGACTCTGAACACCCGAAACACAGGCAGCATGGCCTGCCCGTCAGCTGGAGCAACCCGGAGCAAAGCACACAGGAGCAAGGCAGGATCAATGAAGCAACACAGCGACTCGGGGGTTGAAGTGCTCTGTGTTTGTACAGGATTCCTGAAAGAAGGCATTCCCCTCCCTGCAGGACATGCTTCCCCACTCCTGCAGCTCCTCTGGCTACAGACACAGCCCCCATGGGTCAGGTTTTACTGCACCACGCTGGACCGAACGCTGCCAGCAAAGCTGGGACTCCCCGGGCTGTGGCAGCCACTGACACTCCATCTTCCCAGAGCTGGCACAGGCGGAGAGGTGAGCCCAGGTCAGAGGGATGCTTCAGAGACAGGAGGAGAAAGTGGCCAATGTAAGGAATGTTAACAGTGCTGGGTGTTAGGGATCTTCAGTGGCAGCTTGGTTTTAGGCCCTGGCAGAGGCCACCTTAACAGAGACAATAAAAGAGGTTTTAGTTAAGGCAGAAGGGTTGGCTCAGCCTGTTAGAAGGAAGAGTAGGCCACAAAACATGTAATTGCAGTAACATATCCCTCCATGCTCTACAGCTCTGCTCTCAGGTGATTGTGGAAATGCATCACTCGCACTTTTCCAGCTGCCATCCCACTCCATCCCAACTCACATCCCTCCTTGCACCCCTCTGCCAGCCGCTGCAGCTGCTGATCAAGCGATCCCGGTGAAACGCAGGATGTGGTGTTGAAACTTTGAGGTGACACCATGGCAACACAGCACAGACACCACACTCCTGCCAGACACTGCCAGGGACACCCAAGGACACGCTCTGAACACCGGACTGGCAGAGAATCTCACAAGAAGCCCCAAACGTGTCGGGTCTGGTGACAGGGGAGGCCTCTCCAGCCCCTCAGAGGGAGAAAGCAGCTGTTTCACTCTGTACTTCACTTTTTTAATGCACTGACACTCTGATAGCCAGAACAGCCTGTAACAGTCACAGAAAAAGGGACTGTGGCTCATGCCCAGGCACAGCAGGAACCTCAGTCTAGTCTCAAGTTTGATTTGAAGAGGTACGACCTTGAGTCACTTGAGTAACTGGAGAGGCTTTAATTTATGTACAGTAAAAATACAAACAAATCGGTCAGTGGTTTTACATGTGATGAACAGCAGCTACTACACACATTAGTACTTGTACAGCTGTTTACTATTAAGGTTTACCAGCATTTGAATTGCACAGATCAGCTGAGGGCTCCAGGGCTGCTCATCCACAACCACACACCTACTACACACCTAATGTCCTGGCCCCAGCTGCTACACTACAACATGCAGGAGCCCCAGTTCAAAACCATACAGCAGTATGATGCTAAGCTTTAGTAGAGCACAACCAGAGCAGGCAGACTCATGTGCAGCCAGTTGTCTGTACTCAGTCAGACATAGAAGCATCAGATGCCTCCCAACTTTCAGAGCTGCTCCCAGAAAGAACTATTCCTGCTCTACTACATGTCCAAAATTAAATGTTCACTCTTTTCAAGAAGTCCGAGTCTCATTCCTAAGCTTCATAATGCAGAAAAGCACCAAAGAGCTCTCTGCAAATATAGACACTGGGTAATAAATGGGGACAGCTGCAGCATTCTCTCATCCACCATTGGTTTCTGCTTTTAATTACCCACTTTCTGCTGCACTGAATTCTGTGAGTGACATGGCAAACCTCATCCCAAAGGCCTTTGGCTCTTTAAGGTCTGTGATGTTCAGAAGTAGAACACACTGGCCACAAGAACACTAACCCTGAGGGGTGAGAGCACAGGACTGATGTCAGTCTGCTTCAGGAGCTAAAAGCTAAGAAACATCCTGTCAGGCACAGAAAGACAGGTGTCAACGTCAGCCAAAATTCCTAAAGCCAATAGCAGGATGATGAACGATGTCCCTACAGAAGAGAATCCCAGGGAGAGAAGGAAGAGGCCATCCATCTCAGCCCACAGGCCTATGGAGCAGCAAGGATTTTGCCAAAGGAAAGCCCTGGGTCTAACAAACCTCGGTAGGTGTCTGGAACACACCCAAACCAGCCCTGCTGGGCTAGCAAACCTAAAGGCCAGGCTTTGGGCTAGGACAGAACTGACCAGACAGGCTGAGGCTGCAGAGCACATGTCAGCTCTGCCTCATTCCCCCGCTGCTGCCCTAAGGCAGGTGTATCAGCTTTCCCAGCTCCAGAACATTCAGTGGCACAGTTCAGACAACGTGGAATGGAGTACATCGGATGAGCATACAAAGTTTGAACAGGACACAGCAGCTTTCACAAGGGACTGCTTGGCCAGGCTGGTGGTGTTGAGGGACACTCACACAAGTGCTCAGGAGAGTGGAGGGCCGGGCCCTAGTCTCAGTGGACAACATCCCTCTCCCCACCCCCAGAATGTTCCTGTGTGCCTGAAACATGGGAAATAGGCTACTAGACCTGAGTGAGTGGCAAGAACTTCTGGTAATAGCTCTTGGTAACGTCAATCATGAGTTCCTGGGTGCATTCCGGGAGCTCCCCAGAGAAGAGTCCTGGAAGAAGAACAACAGTATTGACATCAGTCATCATGCATCCTCTACCTGCTGTGCACTAAGGCAGGGAGTTTCACAAGTTAAAACTATTACTTTTCAGTGCAGCAACTGCCTGATTCCTTTATTTCTAGGCACTAAATGCTAAGAAGCAACTTTGTTATAACAATCTCATTTAAAATAAGAATATCCACATTATCCACACTTCTGCGAAAGAGAAGTTAGAGGGAGCATACCTGGGCAGCCTGAGAAAACAGTGAAAGGTGGGACTACAGTTTCAGGAGGGAGTACTGTGTTGTCCAAGATCTTGCAGCAGTCTTTCAAAACACATCTACGACCCTAAAACAGAGAACAGGAAAAGTTTATACTTAAAACACTATAAACACGAGATCTTTTGCTTATCACTGATATACTACCTAAATTTCAAGACGATTAATTGCTCAAAACACATTCTGTATAAGGGATCACAGGAATAATTCTTTACCCTGACTGAATGCTCCTCCCAACAGAATCAACTTTTTGAGGAAAAACATGTTTGCTTTTAACTAGCACAGGTACAGGTAGCTGCACATTAACAAGTCAATGTGCAAATTGGCCCGAGTCATGCAGTGCCAGCAAGACCTTTTCTACCTCAGCAACCTTGACTATTTGGTGTTATTTGCACAGAAACACAACTCCACTTGTTCTCTGTGGCCAGGCTGCCCTCCCCGGGCAGTCCTGTTAGCCATAGGGACAACACTGCTGGGATGGATTTTCCAACCAGCAGCAGCTGAACCTGCTGTCCTTGGAAAAGCAAACCTGAAAGCCCTGCTTCCTGCAGAGAAGGAAGAGGAGGAGGAAGGAACAGCACAGAGTAAGTGCCTGCTCTAGCCAGCTGGTGCAGACACCTCTCAGCTGTCGTCCCAAAGCCTCAGCAGTACCCAGGAGTTTGCAGAGAGGACAAAATGGCACTCACAATGACACAGTTCTTGCCTATGTGCACGTAGGAGCCGATCTGGGCCGCGTTGACAACACAGTCCTCTTCTATGAACACATGGTCACCAATGTGGAGAGGGAAGAAAGCCACCCTGTGACAGGACAGGTATTTGTTTGGTGCACAACAAACAAACTGACACTGCTAGACCCAAAATCACCCTGTGGAGTCTCCCGCCCCCAGATGGATTAGCAGATGTGGATTTGGTGCTAAGGGAGACAAAACAGTAACTGGTCTTTCTCTTCTCTTTCTAAAGGATGGCCCAAATGAGCACCAGGAAGATGTAAATAAACAAAGAGCAACTGAAACATGCTCTTTACTTTGCTATTCTAATATATCCCAGCTTTTCCATATTGGCCTGAAGTGAACACTAACCCTCAAGGCACAGTTGAACATTTGAGAAAGAGACAGGTTTAGATAGATGTATTTCTGCAAACTGCTGCAGAACAGGGTTCTCTGAATAAAAGTCTCAGTCAAGTTGACAGATATTTTCAGGTGTCTCCCAAAAAGAAGGGGCCTCTTACCCTTTACTGAACTTCTTGAAGGGCGGCCTGATGACGCTGCGGCTCTTGACCACGCAGTGCCGTCCCACCCGCACGTTGGCCAGGTCCCCACGGATGATGCAGTCGTTCATAACTATCGTCTGCAGAAGGGAAGAGAGGTAGGTGAGATCCAATTCCTAGACGTTCCTAGCAGTTGTTACACAGAGTCATGCCAAGGTCTGGTCACTCCCGCAAGATTATGTTACCTTAGAGAGGATTCTTTCAGTCAAAAGAAAAGCGAGAACAAAGCAAAAGCACAGGAGGCTGGAACCAGCGGCTGTGCTCCCGAGCAGCACAGAGTGAGCCAGACACGACGCCAGGCTTAGGCACAAACACGGTGACGATGTTCTCACCTTGCCGTTGAGGACGATGTTCTGGCTGCCGCACAGCACGGACTGCCGGCTCACCTTGTTGCCGGAGGCCTG